ATTATATAAGTAATATATAATTTAATAATATTATTGGATCCTGCTGTTCAGTGGTCGAATCCATGTCTGCCAAGTGGGTGACCAGGGTTTGATTCCTGGGCACATGCATAACTTCAGCCCACTGAAGCACCAAACATCAGGACCCAATCTGGCCTTGGGATACTGTCTCAATTGTCTAAAGGGGGGGATGGAAGGTTTTGACAGCCTCCACTACACCACTCTGGCCCAGGCATACATGTCAAAGGTCTGGATGACCTCTCATGCATACACCTTGATCCAGAAAGATCAACGTTTCCTACTAATATTATATGTTGGTATATATTAAGTTTCCTCTACAAAGTAAATAAATCCTGAAAAAATTGTATACACACACACACACACACACACACTATACACACAAATATACAAATACACACACACACACGTACCCCCTGTGACGTGTGTGTGTGTGTGTATTTCAGGAAAAATTGAACTATATATACACACTCAAATATGTATAACTTTATTAATATTGTCCTGACACACACATACATACATACACACACAACATTTTTTTTAATATAAAGTGAATATATATATAAGCCATAATACATTTCTGTGTATCAAGAAAATATTCATTACACACACACACTTTCCCCAGGAAAATACCAAACAAGTGATTTGGGATAAAAATGCTAGATTACTGATATTTCATACACCAGAAGTGATAGTTCCACTTAATACAGTGTAGCAGGGCACTAAGGTGCCTGCTACTGAGACACCCAGGAAGACTCCTCAGGTGCCAGTTGCTGAGGCAACTAGAGGGAGCTAATGATCTGCACCTGCCTAGCCAGCTGACAAGAAGGGGCAGGGCTTGGCTCCTATAAAAACCACAGGCAGGAGGCCAGGCGGCAGTTCCCGACCAGCAGCTAAGAAAGAAGGAGCTCCCTGCCAGAAAAGAGAAGCCGAGCCGGGATGCCAGAGCAGCGCTGGTCACCGCGGTGGGATAGAGAACCCTAGTAGGCCTGAGCGTAGCTTGCGTTGTGGCCCAGGGGCTTGTGTTTATGTTGTTGTTTGTGACTGGTGGTTTGGGTGAGGCTATTAGGGGATGGAGGAGGCCTCATAGGGGACTTATAATAGTGTGGGGACCCCAGCGCCAGTGAGGGCGCTGCATACGGGGTACATAGACCCCAGCCTGAGAAGGGGGCGTTGTTGAGCAGCCCCAGTGCAGGCAGGGTGAGCCTCAGAGAAGGGGGCAGCCTTGTGGTGAGCCCGAGGGACAGGGCGGCGTACTGAGAAGGCCCCGAGAGACAGGGCGGCATAGACTCGAGAGAAGGGCATAGAAAGAGAGAGAGAGAAAAAAAAAAAAAGAGTGAGAGAGAGACGGGACTGCAGAGAGCCCGAGTGCCATAGAAGGCGTGAAGACGGAGAGAGGGACAGAACAACGTCCATTACATGTGCAAGGCCTGGGGCATGGTATTGGGGTGGTAGGAGCCACTCATAGCCCATGGGGCTTGGGTGCATGGGACACCCATGACAGGAGAACCGTGGCCAAGAGGACAGAAGGTAGCCTCCCTATAAAATATATGAAATCAAAGACGTGGCGGGCGAGAATCGGAGGGGGCAAGACGGTCGCTTGGCATGGTGAAGGAGGCGGCAGGGGAGAGCACGGCGACCCTGACGTCCCTCCTGTTACATACAGCATACATAAGACCTAGAATACTAAGTCTAATGCTGGAAATCACTGCATCAGAAAAATGTAAGCAAACAGAAGAGGTTCAGAAAAGCAACAGAAGAACTGTCCTATAACAAACTTAAAAAGGAACAATGTACATAGGCTAAACAAATGTTGAGGAAAGAAACTAATATTCTACAAGTACAAATTCTTAATTCTGAGGCGGTAACCTCCCATGATTCCAATGGCTACAGCATCCAGAAGGTTTTAGATCAGCAACCCTAAGGATAGATGGAGACATGACATTCAGAAAATCAGTTAAAATATGGTATTCCCTCTTTCACTGCAAATATTTTAAGAGAATTGTATACCAGAGATCTACATGAAAATAGATTATTTTGCTGCCTTCAAAATGGCAATGGCTAGCTCATTGGCTATCCCTCAATACAAGGATGATGCCTGCCGGGGGGCGGGGGAAGATTACTGGTGAGTTTTAAAGTGGCTGAGGAGTCCAATCTGTGCTCTGCAAGTTTTTCCACAGATACAACGTGGTGCCTTTGAGGGGGCACAACTGTTGGCCAGGATGTTGTGCACTTTCCTTCCTCCTTTGCCGTTTCTCGGCTTCCTGAGCAAGACAGTTCTCTTCGAAGTGGGCTGCAGCTTGATGTATGGTGCAGTGCTATTGAGACCTGTTAAAAGCCATCACTTCCCAGTTTGTAGGGTTGATGCCACCCTTCTTAAGGTACGCTTTCAGGATGTCCTT